ATATATATTACCGGTTAGAACCAGTTTGAATTTTAGGCACAAATAGATTATCTCAATATCACTGATGCCCGGAACTTTGCGCAACTGTTGAGCTATTTTGATTTGCAATGGTTTAAATTGAATTTTAAATTAAAATCCCGCGCTTCCACTTATTACCGATCTTACAATGGCCGGACCTTGTTTCCTGGGTTTTTGTTGAAGTATTTGTTGGGAGTGGGAGTTTGTCCTTTTCCGAGATATCACGGGAGTAGTGTGAGTATTTGTTGAAGAATTTGTCAGAGATATTAATTTGGTAGGTGGTGATTTTGTGTGGTATGACGACAAAGAAGACTATTGTATTGTTGTGCTCTGTTATACTATCATATGTCGACATTGTACATCGTTTGAGTTGAAAATTTGGTTTGAAAAAAATTCTGAAATAGCATGAAATGTTATTTAAAGTGAACCTAAAGTGAAACATTTTATGTTAAAATAGCAGTTTAATCAGAGAAATTGAAGATAGCGTGAAAGTATGCTTGTTGGTTATATTCGAAAAGATTCGTATTATTTGGTATATTCTAGGTAGTGTTAGGTCAAATTAGTTAGACGAATTTCATTGGTTTGCTATTTCATTTTGTATTTCTTATCAAGTAGGGCTAGATATACTGCCTAAACTTGTGATTATCATTTCTTACTACCCCAGCTCTGCAGGCACCTCACTAGATATTTTCAACTTTTCCTACCATGTCCTCTATATTTTTATCTCTGTCCAGTGTTTGAAGTTAAATGAACATCACTTTTTCATACGTTAACTTTTATTTGTCATATTTGATGCAATTCCTTAAATGAGCCTAAAGCTATATATCAATTTCACATAACTTATCCCATGTTTAGAATTGTAATTAAGAAATTGTACAGGTACAGGGATATAATATAACGTAGTAGAATGAGAGTAGTAATTATTGTGACTATTTCGTACCAGAGAGCTCTATATTGGATAAATGCCATCCCTCTGGAATACAGGGATATAATATAACGTAGTAGAATGAGATAGTAGAAGTACAATTAGCATACGGTAGTATCATTTATTCTGTTATCGTTCTAGTTTATGTCAGTCTTTAAGGCTACATATTTACAAAAAATTAAACAGATTCAGATCTAACAGTTATTGTTGCGTAAAAAAATTTGTTGCATCATGTAAATTAGCCCTTTTTGTATCCTTGCAAATACTGAACCCCATGTACTTGTAGTGTAACCTGGTCAACAGCCGGCATAACTCATCTAATTTTTGAGCTTCAATTGTACACAATTACAACTATTTCTTACATTTAACACAAATAGAAAAGGTGTCACGTGGGGAATGAGTTCGTTGCGCAAACAAGTGGCAATGAGAGGTTTACCATCGGTCAGTGAAGATGGAAGTAACATTTCCATAGGGTAAGTTGGTAAGCCTCACATTTTGTCTTGAATATTTACCATAAACAGTCACTTCCAATCTACATCATAGGGACGTGATTGTTCTGATTTTATAAAATTAAAACTAACAGTTGTGGAGAAATTCGCCAGAAATCTCTCATTAGGTCGAAGAAATCCGATTTTTGAATGTTTAATAGCAAACAGACAGTAACCAGAAATTTTTTGGTAATGATTTTTTTGATTTGAAAAATTTTAGAACAGATCCATCAACGAGTAGAGAGTCCCGTCGTGGTGATACGATGGACGTGACACCACTTGAATGGAATGAATTTTTCGACAGGAAGCTTAGTTTGAACATTAACGACGATGTTTTTTGCGTTTATAGAAAAGGAGACACTGGGCCTATGTTTTACATGCTTCACGGCGGTGGTTATTCTGGTCTGACGTGGGCAGCGGTGACAGTAAGTTCTCTTAACTTTGGACTTGAAACTTTATTGTTAATATAGTTCCCTTTAAATGAGGGCTTTTAATCTTGTCGGAATTTTGTGTACAAAATTAACACTGCTTGATGACCACGTAATAAAAGACTACTTTATTTCAAAGTGTGGAATACATGAATTGGTTCAGGTTACTATTGTCATAATCGGAAGAGAGGTTAAAAAATGTAGTAATAACTAGCGGGTCCTATATAAATTATATATTAGATCTGATAGCTTTATTCAGTTGCTTTTTGATTGGAACATTACTTCGTCCTATTAATGAGTAATGATAGTTATAATTTTAGGAGGGGCTTTTATCACAATTACGTTGTCGAATAGTAGCGCCGGACTTGCGTGGTCATGGTGACACAGTTACAACAGATGAACAAGATTTATCCACCGAACGTCAAATCGAAGATATTGTGGCTATACATAAAAATATATGTGCAGGCGAAATAATCCCGACATTTATAATAGGACATAGGTTGGCTTATTGGCATTTATACAAAATATTTTCTATTACTTGGACCTCATTCCAGAAAAAAAGAGTGTGTTAACTAGTTTCTTTTTGTTCAGTATGGGTGGTGCTCTTGCGGTACATGTAGCAGCCAGTGGTCGTATGAAGGGTATAATTGGTATTGCTGTCATTGATGTTGTGGAAGGTACAGCAATGGAAGCACTGGCAACAATGAAACATTTTTTGAAAAGTCGACCGCAAAAATTTGGCAGTGTCGGTGGTATGCTTACGTAATTTGATTGTTCATTCTGTTGAAACAAAGAAGAAATCTATTAATATAAGAAAAATTATAGGAACAAGGGGAAGAGTGATTATAGTTTTTTCAATGTCCGTTACAATTAAACTAATTTAAATATTTTAATAACGAAATTAAACGATTTGAAAAGATTAATACCATTTTTCACTTTTGATTGCGTTTCTAAGGTTCAAAAACTTAATACATTTAAGCCGCAGTGGAATGGTGCTGTAAATCGGGAACAGCGAAAAATTCTCGAGCTGCTCGTGTATCTATGCCCGCTCAAATTAAAAAGACTGGCGATGTAAGCTTATTGTTCTATTATTTTATTTTTTGCCTTTATGTTGATTTTATATACCTTTGAAAAATAAATCTTTCAATGTTTTTTCGTGTTTGATAATGTTTATTTCAATGTTAAGTTTTTGTAGCTGTATACATGGAGAATTGATTTATCTAAAACGGAGCCTCATTGGGTTGGATGGTTTAAAGGCCTCTCCAAGCTGTTTCTTAGCTGTCGTGTACCGAAGCTTCTAGTTCTTGCTGGCATTGACAGGCTGGACACCGATCTAATTGTGAATTTCGTTATATATATATTTTTTTTTTTTGTTTTCTCATTTTATTTTTGCTTCATTTTCATATTCTCTTAGTTTTCATCAATCATAATTCATAGCTTAAAAAATTAGCGTTGACTGCACGCAAAAATTTTTCTTTCGCCAATTTTATTTCGAAAATGTAAATGAAATATAAGTTTCGTCAACTTTGTAGGTGGGACAGATGCAGGGCAAATTTCAAGAAACGATATTGTCAAAAGCAGGTCATGCTGTACAAGAGGATTCTCCGGAAGAGCTTGCTGATACGCTGGCAAACTTTGCGTTCCGAAATCGATTTTGTTGTCCGTGTTTTTCTTGATCGTGTATATTAATATAGATCGATGATGGATGACAGGAAATTAATTTATTACATCTCAAAGTTTTACTTTTTTTGTCTGAACCACTTCTATTTAGACATTTTCAGGTATTATCGTTTTTCGATTGTATATTCCGGCAAAATTAATTACACCTTCAACAGATTTTCAAGCAACCCTAATTTATTAATTTTCTCTGTGCGTCATGATGATAATTTTGTGGTACAGTTGAAAGAAATGCATCATAGAGCATTGTCGCCGTTTCCGTCAAATATATATTCTGATCTAGTTAAGGTATGCGGAAGGTATGGCACCTAAATTTACATGTTGTTTACATACAAAATTATGAGTAATTTGTGAATAGATATTTCAACTTCTTCAGTCGTTAAAAAAATACACTGTAAAACGACGTATTGTTCTCTACTGTTCGTACAAAACATATTGATTCGGGAAAGCTGCCTCATTCTTGAACTAATATTGGTATTTCTCATGAAATGAAATCAAATAATTATTAGGATTAGGACACTTAGCGAAGTAAGGAACTGACAAACCGTAGGGGTTCGTTCAGCGTATGTGACATCAACGTATGGTGCGAAGTTTTGCAATTCTTCTAGCTGATACTGTGATGGGATATGCAGTTTTTGAATCGTATTATCAACTGAAATGAATGAAACTGACTAAGCAATATTGCAACAAATAGTATGGGCGAATCATTCAGATGCCAAAAAAATGCAAGTTTTGATGTATTTCGTTCTTCTAAACGATTTGTTTCACCTTGTTTTATGTAGCATCATGTATGCACGAATTTTTCATTTTTTTTTCATAAATCTAATCCTTAGCAAGTATTATGCAATGCTACAAATACACCTACGCTTTCATAAATATTTGATACATATAACTGATATGATATAATATTTAAATTTTGCGAAATGCTGCTTACCAGGTTCAACATTCATATCGAGCAATTGGTAGAAAGATGACGAAGCATGAGTTTTATTCTTTTTGGAGTGTAAATCACTTCCGGAATGAGTGGCCCAAGTCCAGTCAGGGAATTTATGTCGATTTGCTGAAATCTTACTTAACATTCTAGATCAAAGCAGACATTTGATGTTATCAAATTAGGTACAGATATTTGTTTCTAATGTTTGAGCAGCAACATTTTAATCGTTTATAATTGATTATACTCAGAAAGTATTTTATAATATCATCGTATTAAATATGAGAATATCCCCCACTTGTTTTAATATCATATTCAGTCTCGAATAAACTATAGACTGATTTAGAATCATCTACCCAGTTGTTCACTCCAGTATTTTCATTTTTCGTCTCTGAAATCAATGGAAGTACCTGTCACTTTATAAATGCAAATATGTGCAAAATTAAAATATATTTTAAATAAACTTTATGAGTATATCACGTTGTATGTTTGAACTAAAATATGTTTGTTGCTATACATTTTTGTGTTTGTAACAATCAATCGATCTGTTCAATCATTTTAAATGAAATTTCATGTCATACTTTCCATAGTATATGCATTGTTAATGGCCAATTGATCATTTCTCATATTTTCTTCACGTTTTGGAATACCATTTTCGGGAATAATATTTGACAAGTGTTCACCATTGTCACAATTATAATTATTATTATCAAATGATAATGCTGAACTAATTGATAAAGTATCAGGAGTAAAACAAGCACTATCCGAAGGTAATAGTAATAATTGCTCTGCAGTTGATGGTGGAATCGAATAATTCATGTCCGCATACAATTTTTGTCATTCAAGATTTGATTAATACAAGATGCTATAATGAAATAATTCAATTAGAGGAACTTCATCAGATGCGAAGAATTGAAGACATATAATATTATTGCATAAACTTTAAAACACGAATATTATTTCTGCGTTTCTCCAGCTTTCAAATTCACCTTTTTCTTTTTTGTACTCGTTTACCGACCGATTATTTCTCAAATTCTCCGGTGATAGTTTTAAAAATGATCAATTAATTTAATCAAACTATGCCAATGCGTTATAAGTAAATTGACCAACTATAAACGAGCATTAATTCACAATGATGAATGGATGTTGTTAATTTACCTATATAAAATAACGAAATTACATTTGCATTTCCATCATTAAATCAATCGATATAGCATATCTCATTTCTATTCAAATTTATTTTACATCACATATTTATGAAACAGACATGGAGCAAAAATTTTTTTAACATCACAAATTATTGTGGTTAAATTTCTTCACTATACATTATAATTATCTTTCCCTTTGGTACCATAAAGCTTCCATCATCTTTACCGTATACTATATAACCTTTCTTTTGATACCATAAAATATCCATTGAGAAGCTTTCTTATATACCTAAAAATTCATAAAAACTTTGCTATATGATTCTCTAAATAAATAATACATTACTTTTGCTTTAATAATTTTGTTCAATAGTACCTGTTGATACCTGACTATTATTAAGCTTATATAGAGAATAGATGTTCGTACCTGTTGATACATGTAAGTATCATCAAATTATAGCTTTACTATTATTAAGCCTATGTAGAGAATAGATGTTCGTACCTGTTGATACCTGTAGTTATCATTAAATTATAGCTTTACTATTATTAAGCCTATATAGAGAAAAGATGTTCAAAACATTCTTCACGCATAATTTCTTCCTTCTTTTTCCACCCAATTTTTAGCTTATACTTTAATAAACTTCCTACAAGAAAAAAGTGAAAAAAATTTGTTGAAATATGAATTTCAAATATTCAACATGAAATATCTCTTCCTATCAAATCTTATCAATGATTAAACATGCAAAACTTTTGATATTATGATAATCATTGTATTGCACAAACAAATTGTTATTAATTATTAAAAAAAATTTTATTGAATGATTGATAAGGAAAAAAGATAAACTATAAAGAAATAGTTTATAATACGCAAAATCATAGTAATAGTTAAGTTAGAAAAAGTGAACAGAGAGAATTATTAAGTATTTAAGAATTTTTACGTATATTCTTCAATTAAGAAAACAAAAAGTTCAAAAATTAATTTAAAAAAAAAGAAAATAAAAATTGAATGGAAAATTAATGACAGCCAATTAAGTATAAAATCATCTTTAAAAAGAAAAGAGAAATATTCTTATGAAATGGTGATAAAATAAATGAAAATAGTAGTATGTTTGTTATCAATAACTAAATTAAGAAATACATCTTCCTCTTTTGGCATTAACAAATTAAATTCTATTGTTTTTTAAGATTGTAATAATTAGCAATTTTTTTTTGTTAAATAATAATTATTAGAAATAATTAAAGCCAACATGAAAACATTCCAAATTACAACTTCGTAATATGCGAACAAAAACAAAGATACATGCCAGGTAAAAGGAAAATGACAAAACATACTGCAACTTGAATTATTACAATAGCTTTCTAATAGAGGTGGTAATTAATGAATAAACTGTAACAAAATATAATTTCAAATGCTATACGCCGTAGTTCATAGTTCAAATTTTTACTAAACGAAAAATTTCAAATGCTTCTTTCTTTTTCTCTCATAACAATATTAATTAAATAATTGCCATTACAAGAAAAGTCAACATTATTTGACTAATTTTTATTTATCATCAATAAATGTAACTGATAAGAAATTTTAATCGAAAATTAAATTTGATAAGATTAAATTTTGAATTATCCAAAATATAATCAAATGATAATTTTTGCTTTAAAAAATAATTTGATAATCTTTCCTTTTTCTTTTTTCTGTTAAAATAAAGAAAAGGAAAGAGCTTGTTGACAGATAGTAAATCAGTTAAGTTAGCATATTGTTTAATTCGATAAAATATTTCGTTTATAAGGATGCTTAAAAATGAGCGTTAATAGAAAATTTCAATTTCAATGAATTACAAATACTTTTAAAAGATTTAGTTAAGATGGGTGAAGAATAAAAAGGTATACAAACAAATGTATGTGAAATCCATGAATGATTGATTCATTGTTTTTATCAAAAATTGGCGATAATTAATTAACGACGGCAGAACAAGCAACGAAGGATTGAAAGTACGAATGATGCAAGCATCATTACTGCAACCACTGCCAAAACGACAATAACCCATGTCTGTAATCATTCATATCCTATTTATAAAATGAATAATGAAAATTTTCAACATAAATTTATGAATGAAAATTAATTTATCGTTTCTTTATTATTAAAACAACAAAAAAAAAAAAGATATCAATGAAGAATGATAATTGATAACCTGTAGATTGAAACAACATTCCTTGTTAGCAGTACCGCAACATTTGTAATAATGGAAAATGCTTGATGTTGGACATTGTGTACCAACGACTGGTACTGGACACCATGTTGATCCATCCTATAAATAACAACAAATGATGAGAATTTTTTGATAATGAAAAAATAATGATCAATAATGGATAAATATATGTATGTGATAGAATATATTCATAGAAATAATTAAAAGAAATAAAATAATTTAAATTAAGTAAATTTTTAATAAAACTTTTATCCTATTAAAGTTTTACTTTACTTCGCATTATATTCGTGTATTTTTTCTAAAAGAAATTTTAATCTTTTGTTTATTCAAATTTGCTGCCAGCATAAAATTGAATAAAGTTGATAGAATTAATGGCAATGAAAATTTCATTTCTCATAATGAGAATGGAAGTTATGAAGAAATTAAATTTTACAATTTCTAATGATAATTTATTGGCGAAAATTGTTTTGTAATATAAAGAAATATATAATGTGTAAAATATTAATATAGTGATAGAAATTAATGATAATTAATTAATCAATTAAATGAGATAAGAAACTTATATCGAATATGTATGATTTAAGGTACTGCTAATTAATCAATTAAATTAGATTAGATAAGAAAATTATATTGAATACGTATGATTTAAAGTACTACTAACCTTAGTGGATGTCATTTCACGTACCGCACTTTCCACATCACCATCGCTTAATGCAACCGCGGTAATGATAGATAGAAGTAATCCAGCAGATAGCATTTTGATAATGATACTGATTTACGTTAAATTTGTACTGTTCTAGAAATTATCATTTCACTTCAAATCACGTTAAACGTATAAATTTACGCACTCCGTGTTTTTAATGCAAGCGTAAATAGAATTTTCATACATTATCTTTATGTTAATCAATCTAACATTGTGGCATGTATTTGAATGTATAGTACTGATAGTTATCATATATTATTATCATGTTTAAACTATTCCGAATACAGTATTAAAGCAACGAGATAATACAATGTGAAAAGATTGGCACGAATTCAAACGTGAAAGAGAGTAAGACATATTGATCCAGCATATGATACACTAAAGAGAAGGTCATGTCGTAGATGTCACCAACACTAAGGAACGCGTATGACAGAATAGGCGATAGAAATCGAAAATAAATAGAAGAGGTGAACAGGCAGCCACATCATCTTCATACCTGCACTATGGCTCACATTCTATCATCCATATCCATTATCTATAACTTTTACTACACATATTCTGATCAATAATGCTTTGTGGTTAGCATACCCAATAATACATTTGATATTGAGATTATTTAAACGATTACGTTTAAATGAAAAGGGTGAATAATAATAAAATCAATAATAATTAATAATAATAATTAACAATAATAGCAATAGTTGGTAATAACTATAACAATACTATTTATTAATTATTACAATAATAACAGTAACAATAATAATAATTAATAGTACTAATTAATAATAACTATAATCAATAATAATAATAGTGATAATAATGATAATAATAAAACGATAATAATGATAATAATACTGACGATAGACATTTATGTAAAAGTTCTTATTTTTTCTGAATTGCTTGGGGAAATTTCTAATAATTAAATATTCTCAATTTATTCTCTTTATGTTTGATTTCATAATACTTATCTTTTGATTGATCAAAAATTCATTCCAATAAAACGAATGATCGATCGATTGATTGATTGATCGTTGATCGTTGAAGAAGAGGAAAAAGAAATGCTATGCTATCATTGAAATTTTAACGAACAATACTTATGCGCTTATTGCTTATTGTTTAAACCTCCTATTATGATATTATTATTGTTGTTGTTGTTGTTGTTGTTGATGTTAGTGCTGTTATTTTCACTACTATTATTATACAAATATGCCATTATTGACAAAGTATATTATTGTTTAATGTATAAGTAAAATATAGTTGTTAATATAAATTAATAATATTATAGCAAAGATAAGCAAACAATAACTATACATAATCGAAACTTAAAAGAAATAGAAAAAGAGATGAAACACTCACTAACTGTTAAATTTCAAAGAATAACAAGAGAAGCTTGGGGATTTGAAATCGATAGAAAATTTGACAAATGAGCAATAGAAGGATTACTTAGTGATTCACTTTACTATTCTCAACTATTAATATCTCGTATTTTATCACTATCATCCCGGGAATTCTCAGTGACAATTCATAAATGAATGATAACTGATGCATTTCAAACATATATGTATTATAATTTCATCCAATGATAGTAGTTATTTCATCATTTTATTCCATATGATTAGAATTTAAAATATTACTAACTGATTTGTCATACTTTTTTTTCATATAGAAAGGGAAAGAGAGAGAGAGAGAGAGAGAGAGAGAAAGAAGTGTAAGAATTTTTTTACATTTCTTTTTTTAATGGATGAGAGGAGAGATAGAGGAGAGAGAGAGAGTAGGAATTAGTGTGATGATTTCACAGAATATAAATTCACAATTTCATTCTTCAATCAAATATTTTAAATGAAATCAAATCAAATCAAATCAAATCGAAAAAAAAAATGGATCAAAATGAAATGAACTAAAATAAATGAATTGAATTGAATAAATGATTCATTTATAGAAAATGAAATCGATAGTGGATATTTTGATAGGAAATCAAATAAATGAATTGAACGAATGAATGATTCATTTATAGTAAATGAAATATTAATGGAATCGATAATGGATATTGTAATAGAAATTCAAATAAATGAATTGAATGAATGATTCATTCATTTATAGTAAATGAAATAATAATGGATATTTTAATAGGAATTCGTAACAATGGAATCGATAATGGATATTTTAATAGGAATTCGTAACGATGGAATCGATAATGGATATTGTAATAGAAATTCAAATAAATGAATTGAATGAATGATTCATTCATTTATAGTAAATGAAATAATAATGGATATTTTAATAGGAATTCGTAACAATGGAATCGATAATGGATATTTTAATAGGAATTCGTAACGATGGAATCGATAATGGATATTGTAATAGAAATTCAAATAAATGAATTGAATGAATGATTCATTCATTTATAGTAAATGAAATAATAATGGATATTTTAATAGGAATTCGTAACAATGGAATCGATAATGGATATTGTAATAGAAATTCAAATAAATGAATTGAATGATTCATTCAGAATAAATGGAATAATAATGAAATCAATAATGAATATTTTAATAGAAATTCACAATTAGTAATCAAATTTCATGAATGACTCATTTTCAAAATATATTTTTATTATCAATGATAGCTCGCCTTTTTTCAACGTTCTCAAAAAAAAAGCAAAAATATTTAAAGCAAAATAACAAACAATTATTTAACAATGCTAATCGATGATTCAATCATTTCAATTTTAATTCCTTTTTCAAAATACATTTCCTTCTTTACACCCTTCTTCAAATCATTAATAAACAAACATCATCATATCTATCCTTCGAAACTTTTAATACAAACTTTTATAACACCTGCAATTTAACTAAACAATTAAATATATCTCTTTGTTTCCTTATCTTCTTCTCATCAATTAAAATAGTCTAAAATCAAGGAAAAAAAACACTTATAATTAATTAATTAGTTAATTTTATTAATTAATTAATTAATTATTTATTAAATTAGTTATTAAATTAAATAAAAGAGAGAAAAAGAATTAATCTTTTCTCTCTTTTTTTTTTATTATAATTTTATAATATTGTTAGAAAACATAATAAATTATTTAATTCATTTTTAATAAAATACAATTATTATTTCACAAACAAGAGAGAGAGAGAGAGAGAAAGAATACCTTTTTTTCTTTTTGTTTTATTTTAAGAGAATTTCAAAAATGAAATAAATGAATAATATAGGGTGGTATGAAAGGAACGAAGTAATAAGTAAGTCGTAGTATGCATAATGCTGAAAATAAAATTTAACAAACAAATGAAACAACCAACAATATTCACCCCATCCTATCCTATCCTATCCTATCCTACCCTATCCTATCCTATCCTATCCTATCCTATCCTATCCTATCCTATCCATATATCCATCTAATTTATTCATCTCATATATTCAATCTGCACGCTATAAAATAAGAACAGGTGAGAAAGGATTGTTATTTATTGTAAATAATAACACAACAATATCTAATATTATTTTCAATTCTTTTTTTTCTTTTAACAAAATTTCAAAAATAAAAATTAAATTAAATTAAATTATCAGAGTTCAATAAAAACAATTTAAAGCATTGATAATGATAAGAATAAGAACAACAAACAATCAAACAATTTACAACATAGTGTCCGCCATTGTTGAAAAAATTAAAATTGATCGGATGGAGATTATGAAGAAGTAATGAAGAGAAGATGGTAGAGAGAAAGGAGGAGGGAGAGAGGGGTATAAAGAGAGAGAGAGAGAGAGGGAGAGAGAAAAAGAAAAAAGTATGGGATGAGTAGGTAAATCGATCGAATACAATTTTTAAGCATATTTCCCTTTTTAATAGTAATACAACTCCTACTACTACTGCTACTACTACGATTACTACTACTACTACTACGACGACTAACATCTCATTGATTATCTTTTCGATATTACTCTCTCTCTATACCTCTCTCTAGTTTTCCTTTTCTCTTTTGTTCTGTTTATTAGCATTATTTGGTGCTTGGTAACACATGAAAGCTTTCATAATCAATGATAGCTGTACTTACCAGTTTTCTCCTCTCTAGTTAATAACAACATATTTTTAGGTCTGATATAACATAATCAAAATGATAAGACAATATTATGACGATATTGTTTACATTGATAAAATATGACTAATATTTGTTTAGATATTCCAATATTATATTTAATAGAAAAAATGATAAGAATGCGCTTTAAAATTCTACATTGGTACTTTATGAAAGTACCATTGTAGAGTTTAAAGTCCATAGAGTTGAAAGTACCATTGTGTAATTTAAAGGTGCTATCAACTAAATCAGCTAAATACATTCAACAAGTTTCGACACCGTCAAGAAAGAAGGGAGACGAAAAATACGCTTGAATGATTTTGAAGTTGAAAAAAAAAACAGGAACAATATAAATAGAGGTGTTAATTGTTGTAATTAATTACTAATTATGATGTAGGAAGGTTTTACAACTAATTAATTGCTAATTAATTGAACGTAGAGATAAAACGATTGATATATGTAAAGAGATGGAAGAGAAAATTTCAATTACAAATTGCTGAAAAAGTTAGAAAAATTGTACACTTCGAAAATTTTCGATTTAAAATTTTGGAACGAATTTTCATTTGTTGAATTTTTATTAATTATTTTTAGAAGAATTTTATGTATCCGACAATTTAATTAACAGATCATTTTATTTCCAACTTATCAACTATGATAAATACTGAAATATCAATTCCAAAATTAGCAATCTAAGTAAATTAAATCGAGAGCAATTAATAAATAATCTTATTTTCAATTTATCAACTATGATAAATACTGAAATATCAATTCCAAAATTAGCAACCTAAGCAAATTAAATCATGAGTAATTAACAGATAATATTATTTTCAATTTATCAATTATAATAAACACTGAAATATCAGTTCCGTAATTATCAAACTAAGCAAATTAAATCGCGAGTAATTAACAGATAATTTTATTTGAAAATACAGGTAAATTAATTAAGCAAACATGTTGTTATGGAAGTTTTCATTGGTAAAGAAAAAAAATGAACTAATAAATTTAATTACATCGAATTTTTAAATTTCATTATTAAAATTAAATGATTTCATTAATAATTCTTCAAAGGATTATTCGTTTAAAATAGAAAAAAAAACATTATTTTCATTATACGTGAATTTACCGATACTAGAAATTGTTTTATTAATTAACCTGATCTAATAATTAGTTATGAAATTATTCCCAATCCCAATTCCACCTTTATATCACTCTTATTTTCAATTAGAAAACCACAAATGGTTTAAATAGCCTCTCAAAAAAAAAGAAAGAAATTTAATTTTCTCCTATTCTTCATTCGTCAACGATCGCCGAAATAAATTTGGTTGATAATGATAACGAGAAGTATATCATCAAAGCATCTCAATTATCTCAATCCAATTAATGTTTCTAATCACTTAGAGGATGAGGTCAAAGGTTTGTAAATGCAAAAAGTTACATCAATGGAAGAAGAAGATAAATGTGTAAAATTGGTGGGTTGAGAAAAAAATAAAATAACTTCAAATTGAAGCCGTAAGCAACGATCGAATTTTCTAATTCAATGGATACGTTTGCTATCACTCAGACAAGTGCAATAATAAAAGAATTTGTCGAAGTTTGTTGAAATCGATAGCTTTCCTGCTTTCAACATTAATGCATCTATTATAGATGGAATTGAATGATTCCGGAAATTTAAAATTTTCCACAACTGATGGATGAATGTCGAAGGGAGGGAAAAAGTTATTGATATGTATTCCGTGTCGTTTTTTCAGTTCCCTTTTTTTTAATTTAAAAAAATTATGAAAATTTAAGTTTAGAAATTTTTGCCTCTTTAAAAATTCTTTTCGTTTAATTTTAATTTGATATTCAATGATGATAGGAATAGAAAACATACATAAAATTCATTTAAAGATGAATAAAAACAATGAAAATTTTTGATGATATTAATGAAATGCATTTGAATTTATTCATTATTAATTACTATTATTAATTATTATTATCATTATTATTATTATTATTATTATTATTATTATTATTATTATTATTAAAATATTATTATTTCTGCATCATAGATAACTTATTCATTGCAAATGATATGGATGAAAGATATCGATATATCAAATAGATATATGAAACCTTAAAGCTTTCTAACTCGTGAAACCGGAAAGATATAAATATATGGAACCTTTCTAATTCATGAAATCGGAAAGATATAAATATATGAAACCTTAAAGTTTTTAACTCGTGAAACCGGAAAAGTAGTTTAAAATGATATCATATCCGGAATAAATTAGCATTAAAATGTTTCCAAATATCATAAACAATTGTTCTTTTAACTTTAAAATATTATCTAAGTTAATGAGTAACACTCAATAAACAGTTAGAGATTGTTTAAAACAATGGGTGTGATATCATAAATAGAAATCTATAGAATAATGTATCTTATGTTTTAATTTACATTTTTAATATTAACGACTAATCCTAACTTCATGTCATTGTACAAATGGTATTATTAGAAAGAGAAAGAATCAAATTAATTTCTCAGCAACTGAAATTCAACCTATATCCTAAGATTCTCTAAATGCAGTACATTTCTTGTAAACCGTTGCATAGCACTTTTGAATATTTAACTGTTTCATTTATTAATTTGTAATTAATAATTAATAATCATTTTTGAATATTTAATTGTTTCATTTATTAATTTCTAATTAATAAAATTAAGAAATATCAATCGAATTTTACATGGAGAAGTTTTTGCATTTGAAATAAGAAAAGTAATTGATACCAAATTTTACAGAATAAAGCGAAATTTATTTTCTTTAAAATGAAATGAAAAGAAAAGCTCATATATGGGAGATATTGTGGAATAATGAGAAATGAAGAAAGGCAGAGAAGATTAGAAAAGGAAGGATTAGATTTGTAAGGCCTTCCTCTCTTCTTAGTTAAGGCTATAAGTTAATGGAAAAACAGGAAGCGATAGACTAATATTCTTTCATGAAATTTAAGGCCTTCCATTAAAAGAAATGGGAAAAAAAATAGCCGATCGATCCTATTCGATAATATTGTATAGTAATAGCAACGAATTATCAATAATGGAGGTGATAATTTGATAATTTGTTATTTTATAGACAAATATAATTATCACACAGAATGAATAAATTCATTCATCACAGATTAATCTAATTTATAGTTATGTGATAGACGAAGTTGTGATTAGCTTAAAGATGGCAAAATAAAATGGAAAAATAAATTTGCCAATGGAAGAAAAGGAGAGAAGTTAGTATCAGAGCTTCATGTTTTGAATAATAGCACCAAATATTTCTTTCGTAAATGAATGTTAAAAGAAAAAAAGGAACAAAATATTTCGCTCTTCCTTTCATATCAAATAGCTTCTTGAAGTCTTGAAATATATCTACGACAATGATGATAGGTCTTGAAGTATATCAACTTGATAATGATAAATTTTGAAGTATATCTACCTGATGATGATAAGTCTTGAAGTATATCTATAACAATAATGATAATAAATCTTGAAGTATACCTACAACGATGATGATAGGTCTTGAAGTATATCAACCTGATAATGATAAGTTTTGAAGTATATCTACCTGATGATGATAAGTCTTGAAGTATATCTATAACAATAATGATAATAAATCTTGAAGTATATCTACAACGATGACGATAAGCCTTGAATATATCTACCTGATGATGATAAGTCTTGAAGTATATCTACAGCATTAATGATAACAAATCTTGAAGTATATCTACAACGATGATGATAAGTTTTGAGGTATATCTACGACGATGATATATCATTAAAATATATTATAGTTTTAATGTTCTTTCATTTTAAAAAAACCAATAAAAAATTAATGATTAATGCAAATTTTAAAAGTAAGTAAATTTATTCGCAATGAATATTAATTAATTGCTAAAATAATGTACTACATTTTTTTTAATAGCTCTCAGAGATCGCTTTAATCGAAATTTCACACAAACGAATTCATATATTATGATATAGTATATATATATATATATATGTGTGTGTGTGTCTATTAGCAAAAAAAGCTGTTTCTGATAGTTAATGTTAAATTTTTTAGAAAGCTTAAATATAATTATTAAAGTATATTATCATTTTAATATAAAATTAATATTCATTAATGATAAGTTGATTTCATTTTAATTTTAAATATGCGTTAAAAAAATGAGAAAAGAGAAGAAGATATAATTAAATAATTAAAGATATAAATAATTAAAATCAAAGATATAATTAAAAGAAGATATAAAAGAAGATATAAGATATAAGAAGATATAAGATATAAAAGAAGATAAGATATAAGATTTAAATGATATAATAAAATAAAAGTTAATTTCATTGTTATGAATGCTCTGATAAATAATATGAAAGTTTAGATGAAATTAGAAATAGAAAGAACAAAATATTTCAGTATATAATGGAAGCTAATGGAATTGGCATAAACTAAAAGCATATTTACGATTCCATTATAAAATACGACACTCCTACAAATGGCAATCAATTTGGAAAAATTGAACTGATCGGTAGTTAATTGAAGATTCGGCGTTGTTTACCATTAAATTGGCTAAAGAATAATCTCTTCCTACATTACATTGCATACTTTCTATTTTAATTAAATTACATCTGTTGCTTACACCGATCGATTAGAAGAAATTTTTATTATTATAAATCAAATATAAATATTATTATAGATCAATGATAAGCTATAAAATAAGCTTATTTATTCAATTATATTAGCATAAACGAATAATCTGTCAATTACTGATATATCATTTTTTGAATTATTATTTTACAACAGATGCTGAATAGATTTGGTATCATTCGTTGTAGTTTTTAACCTATATATTGTGTAATAAATTATGAGTATAGTTTGACTCCTCTAATGGATCTAAGTAATAGTTCCATCATTTCCTACTGCTTTATCGTTGAACTTTTTTTCTGCACTTCGAATCAATAAATAAATAGTTCCATCATCATTATCATCGGTATCCTTTTGTTTATCAGTATCGGTATAACTCTTTCCTTCATTCATTTTCATCTTTTTGTCATTTTCATCATCTCTTTCATTTTCAATTTCATATATAGTTATAAATGTTATTCGTTCAACAATTTTCTTATTACTTTGAATTGTCTCCAACAAAGATCTTGTTGAACTTCTTGTTGATACTGAGACGAATTGTGGAATTTTGGCATTATCAGCACATGCCAACAGTGAAGCAGACGCAGTAGACTTTTCAGAAACTGGAACTTTTTCTGCAAACAAGAAAAAGTGAGAAGCTTTCATTTAAAATGAAACGATACATACTAAAATTTCGTAAAGTAATTAATTAACAAATAAAAAAATAAATACCTTTATAATTTCCGCCATCCTTCACTTTTCGTCTTTCCTCCTTCTTCATCTTAGATAATATGCTTTCAGCAGTAGTTAACGGTGCTTCATCAGACTCTAAATGTTCATCAAATTTTATTTAATTGATGAACAAATAAGAATGGATAAATAAATAAACAAGTGAACATATATGCCTTCATAATTATTGTTGTATTTCTTTATCGTTCCTTTTTCTTTCTCCTCCTTTTTAGATGATATCATTCCAACTGTAGCAGTAGGATAGCCTAAATAACTATCAAATTTATGTCAAGTAATTGGTAAACAAATAAGAATTGACAAACAAACAAGCAAACATATACTTTCGTAGTCTTCAATATATTCCTTCATCGTTCTTCTCTCCTTCTTCTCCTTGTTTGGTGATATTATTCTTGCAGTAGCCATCGGCGATTCTTTAGTTTCTAAATGTTTATTAAATATCATGTTAATGTTTATCATGTTAATTAATCGACATAAAAACAAATAAACAAGTAAACATATACTTTCATAGTCTTTATCGTATTCATCCATCTTACTCCAGTCATCCTCCTTCATTTTAAGTGATATCATTCCTGCAATGGCCACCGATTATTCTTCAAATTTTAAATGATTGGTGTCAAATATTGGTAAACAAACAAGCATAGAAAACAAATAAACAACTATATACTTTCAATGTTTTTATTGCACTCATCCACATTCTTGCTCTCTTTCATTTCCATTTTAGGTGAAATCATTCTCGCGGTGGCTGCAGATGATTCTTTAGATTCTAAATGATCATCAAATTTTTCATAAATAAGCTGATAAACAAACAAAATAGACAAACAAATAAACAAGCAAGCATATACTTTCATAATTCTCATTGTGTCCATCAATCTTCCTTCTCTTCTTCTCCTCCTTTTTAGGTGATATTATTTCCGTAGTCGATTCTTGGGGCTCTAAATGATTATTAAAGTTTATGTAAGTTATTCGCAAACAAACAAACACAGATAAACAGGTGAATATACATAATAAACAAGTAAATATATACTTTTAGCATCTTTGTCCATCTTTCCTCTCTTCTCCTTTTTAGGTAATACTTTTCCAGTGGACATCGATGATTCGTCAGATTCTAAATAATCATTAAGTTTGCGTAAATGAACTGATAAACAAACAAATAAACAAATGCTTTCATTATCTTCGTTGTATTCATCTATCATCTTTCTCTTTTCTATTTTAAGTAATATCATTTCAGCGGTGGCTATCAAATGAACTGATAAACAAAGAAATAAACAATAAGTACTTTCATAATCTTCGCTGTGTTTATCCATCATCTTTCTTTCCTCCATTTTAGATGATATCATTTCCGCAGTGGTTACCGACGATTCTTCAGATTCTAAATTGTTGTCAAGTTGAACTGATAAGCAAGTAATAGGAATAAACAAATAAACAAGCAAACAAATACTTTCAACATCTTTGTTGCGTTCATCCATCTTTCCTTTTTCTTTCTCCTCCATTTTAGATGATATCATCTGCGCGGTGGTCACCGACGATTCTTTAGATTCTAAATGATCATTAAGTTCACATAAATGAACTGATAAACAAGTAAACAAGTAAATAAGTAAACATATACTTTCATAGATTTTATTGGATTCATCTATTGCCTTTCTCTCCTTCCTCTCCTTTTTAGGTGATATTATTCCAATAGCAGTGATCGCTTCTTCTTTAAACTTCTCTAAATGATCATCAAAATTTCATGTCAAATTATTCATAAGCAAACAAGCAAACAAATAAACATTCATCCATCTTTCCTTTCTCCTTCTCCTCCTTTTTAAATAATTACCATTTCTGAAATGGCCATTGACGATTCTTCGGATGCTAAATGCTGATTAAATTTGCATTAATTAGTTAGTGAACAAATAAGCATAGATAAACAAATAAAAAAGTAAACATATGCCTTCATAATTTTTATTGTATTCCTTCCTTTTTCTCTTCTCTTTCTTCCTCTTTGTTGACAGCATTTCTACAGCAGTGATGGATATCGAATGTTCATCAGATTTCTCTAAATAGTTATCAATTGACAGCATTTCTACAGCAATGATAGATTCGGATGTTCAACAGATTTCTGTAATTAGTTATCAAAATTTGCCAACTCATCTTATGCCACTAATTTTACTTCAATTAAAATTTCATTAATTTCCTCAAAATTTCATCTGAGAAACAAAAGAGCACGTAATTATTTAATGAATGAATGTTGTTGTTTGATCCGATATATATATCATTATATTTTATATATAACGATATAAAACTCCTCAATGATTTCTGATAATTAAGCATTTAGCAAAAAAAAGAAAAACAAAAGAAATTACCGGATTTAAATTTTAATTTTGATTCAGTATTACTTTTCTTTTTAATCTTTTGCTTCCTTTTCTTATCTATTTTTTTGTTTTCTTCTTTCTTTTTCTCTTTCTTAATAGCACTTTCTTTTTCCTTTAAAGATTTCCTATAAACAATATTTATAGTCCATTTTTTGATTATTTCTAATAGTTCCAAAGCTTTCAAATTTGCATTAAATCATAGGAGTTAATTAAAATAATAAATTAAGCTTACCTGCTAATTACCGCAAACGAAACATTTTAGAAAACTAAAGATATCTAACAAAAAGATTTCCTTTCCTGAATTTAGCAAATTAAAATTTAAACAACAAGAAGAATTATTCATCTGTGATACATCCATTTCCATATTCATTATTAATTGATAAGTTATTCAAATCAAATCGATGCTTACTTTTTACCCACTACCTGAAATATAGCCTTATCTTAGATTTGAAGAAATATCCTATGATGTCACAAAAAAAAGGCTTTTTACCTTTTTGGCACTATCAGATTTACTTTCACTAAATATCTTCCTTGGTTGCTCCCGTGGTAAAACTTCCATTTCTGTCGTATCTGACAATGAATAAAAAATTTTTTGTTCATAATGACAATATCCTATTGGTGGCCTATTTTAGAATTCTTTATTTAAAATAATTAAAAATATTGCTAATGAATTAATTAAAGATATTGATAATGAAATACAACATTCATTCTACTCTAATAAACTGCAATGAAGAAAAGAAAGAGAGACTGATATATATATATATATATCTGAGTAAATATTTGTGAGAAAGAACTAAAATTAACTTTACCACAGAATCAATAACTGAAACCTTTTTTATTTTTATTCTTTCGTTGTATATGAATTTTCTTAAAACAAAAATTAAAATTTTTAATTTCAATATTAATTTCATTTTAATAAACTATTGTTTATTGTTTATATCGTCTTGTTTTTCCTTTTCTTTTTTTCAAATAATTAAAATTAAACAAATCTTTCGAAATTAAATTTTAATTTCAATTTCATTGCAAAACTTTTTTAAGGCTCAATTTTATTCGATTGTTTTATTTATTCATATTTTATTACTTAGTTTTCTTCTTGCTAACTTTTCTTCTTTGTTGTTATTTTTTTAAAAGAAAGAAAATTAACATACATAGCGTTCATTGAAGTAATTATAATATGGATTGTAAATATCCACAACTTTATTATGCTTAATATAATTTTATCATTATATGTATCATAGTGATAAGGGTGATAAATGGTTCAATGATAATTCAATATTTAAATAAATCAAAAAAAAGAATTATTAAAGAAATTGACATATTTTAGTATTTAACATATCTAAAGATCCACAATTTTATTATGCTTAATATAATTTTATTATTAAATATATGATAGTGATAAGGGTGATAAATGGTTCAATGAAAATTCGATATTTAAATAAATCAAAAAAAGAATTGTTAAGGAAATTAACATACTTTAGTATTAACATATCTATATCTTCGTCTTGTACTTGGTTTATGTGTGATAATTTCTGCAATACTTTATCATTCACAATAAAATCTTGATAAAGATATGTGATTAAAAGAAATTTAACCCATTATAAATAATTATAGAGAAATTAATTCCCTTCCTCTCTTTCTCTCCCTCTCTCTTTCAAAGATATTCTCTCTCTATTAAATTATAAACATTTATCTTAAGTTATTTGAATATCTAAAAGTTATTAAAAGTTATCTATCAATTGAAGTATAATGAAATTTTTGAAATTTTAGAAAACTTTATAAATTATGTAAATTTTTTTGAAATTTCAAATTTATAAAATGTGTGAAGTTTACCGCTTGATTTGGAAGTTGACATTTTTGGATAATAACTGAAAACAATATAAATATAATATTGATAATGATAAGATTGATGATTTATCATGATTATTCAGATTATTTTTCTTTAAAATCATTTACTTATTATTCATCGTATTGCTTATATACGTGAAGCAATTAAATTTAATTCATTAAATTTAAAAAAAACTATCAGTTAAATTTATTAATTTTAATAGATCATTAGATCATCATTTAAGTCATCTAATAATTTCTTCCTCAATTATTAAAAAACCTTTAAAAATGGATAATATTTTAATTTAGATTATATTTAGTTTCTAATCTTTTCATGTGACAAACAATAAAATGCAGAAAACGATATTATCCATGAAATGGCGAAGTTCAAAGATTATTTCTTCAACATTGTTAATAACAGTTATAATCCATAATTCATTTATAATTAAATTTATTTTAATTACAATTATTACAATTAATTAAATCTCTTACATAAATGAATTTCATGCTAACATTAACTTTAAAGTGTAAGAAATCCTTCGCAATATCTTTTGTTTATTTGATAATATCAATCGTAATTAGCAATATATTTTAAATGAAAAATGCAATTCGTACCGATCAGTAGGAGATGATGGGAAATAAATGAAAATTGGCATAGTATTCATACTATTTATATCATCCGGTAAAAATTTATTACAGAATTTATCAAATATTTCAGGAATGGAACGGGAAAAAATTTCATATAGTAAAAGTATTAATTACTACTGCATTAATTACTAAAGTATTATTTAACTCATGCATATGTAAATATATACATATCTTCGTTTCACATATATCTGTGTGTAACGAATTTATCAGACCACATGTAATTAATGTATATAAGTGTTTATATACAACAATTACTTACTAAAGAAATGGAGCAATAATTTATTTGCGCTTTCATTCATGAAGAATTAGCATTTGAAAAAGTGATGGCTCAATTAAGGGGTAGACTGAAATAGAAGTGTATCGTTGTTTATTTCAGTATTTTCCATTTAAAAAAATATCGATGTTTTTAGGGACAGTTAATAGAGCTAAAAGAAGCTAGCCCAGTTAATATTGTGATGCTTTGAATTCTTTTGCAGATATTTCTAAAAGGCTAAATAACGTTCTATGTATAATTAAAGCTTTTACAAGGCTAAATCCTTAATGCATTCCATGTATTCCGGCTTATGCCAGATCTGTATATCCTCAAGCCATCTGTCTATTAATTAAGCTCTGTTCGCCAATTGAAGACTATTTGATGATTCAATCAATTGACTTTTTTTTACAAAAAGCTGTCAAGAATTTTGCTAAGGGCATTTCTCCGAAATTATTTTCCTTGTTCCAAGAGGTCAAAATATAAGGGCAAATATGGAAGTGAAAATATCATCCCATTTAAAGTTTACTAATACGCTAAAGAAACAACAACGAAAAATCGAAATTCAAAAAACCTATTTTGATTCGCTTCAGTGATAATTTTCACTGGAACTTATATTATGAGCATAATAAAAAATAAAGCGTATTTTCTGGTAAAGCAATAAATATGGTATATTATACGTAGCAAAAGTTGTTTATACTTCACTGAAAGAAATCAATAAATGATATCAATATATGACAGATATCACTTCCTGTATTTTAATTCGTTTTTCTTCCATTTAATATCAATTGGATTATTTGGTCACGGATTTCATAATTTAACCGATGAGACTATATTTTGAGAGATAGGGATAGGTATGTCAGTTGCTTAATCGCTGAAGCGGCATATTTATAGCTTTTTTGTTTTGTATTCCTGAGACGTTCCTGTTCCAGTACCTTGTCCAGGCACTAAATAGACACTTTTCTGTCCCCCTCTTATTGCTCCAGCTACAGAGCCTACTCCAGTTCCAGCTCCAACGCCACTTTTCCCATAACTAGGAACGCCTTGCCCGGGCATGAAATAAACACTTCTCTCTCCCCCTGCTCCAGCTCCAGCTCCAACTGCACTTCCAGCTTTACTTGCAGCATCAGTTCCAGCTCCAACTCCAACACCTTTCCCATAGCCTTGCCCAGGCATGAAATAAGCACTTCTCTCTCCCCCTGCTCCAGCTCCAACTGAACTTCCAGCTTTACTTGCAGCACCAGTTCCAGCTCCAATTCCAATGCCACCTTTCCCATAGTCTTGCCCAGGCATGAAATACGCACTTTTCTCTCCACCTGCTCCAACTCCAACTGCACCTCCAGCTGTACTTGCAGCTCCAATTCCAGCTCCAACTCCAACACCTTTCCCATAGCCTTGCCCAGGCATGAAGTAAGCACTTCTCTCTCCCCCTGCTCCAGCTCCAGCTCCAACTGCACCTCCAGCTGTACTTGCAGTTCCAGTTCCAGCTCCAACTCCAACACCTTTCCCATAGCCTTGCCCAGGCATGAAGTAAGCACTTCTCTCTCCCCCTGCTCCAGCTCCAGCTCCAACTGCACTTCCAGCTTTACTTGCAGCACCAGTTCCAGCTCCAATTCCAGTGCCACCTTTCCCATAGTCTTGCCCAGGCATGAAATACGCACTTTTCTCTCCACCTGCTCCAACTCCAACTGCACCTCCAGCTGTACTTGCAGCTCCAATTCCAGCTCCAACTCCAACACCTTTCCCATAGCCTTGCCCAGGCATGAAGTAAGCACTTCTCTCTCCCCCTGCTCCAGCTCCAGCTCCAACTGCACCTCCAGCTGTACTTGCAGTTCCAGTTCCAGCTCCAACTCCAACACCTTTCCCATAGCCTTGCCCAGGCATGAAGTAAGCACTTCTCTCTCCCCCTGCTCCAGCTCCAGCTCCAACTGCACTTCCAGCTTTACTTGCAGCACCAGTTCCAGCTCCAATTCCAGTGCCACCTTTCCCATAGTCTTGCCCAGGCATGAAATACGCACTTTTCTCTCCACCTGCTCCAACTCCAACTGCACCTCCAGCTGTACTTGCAGCTCCAATTCCAGCTCCAACTCNCCCATAGCCTTGCCCAGGCATGAAGTAAGCACTTCTCTCTCCCCCTGCTCCAGCTCCAGCTCCAACTGCACTTCCAGCTTTATTTGCAGCACCAGTTCCAGCTCCAATTCCAGTGCCACCTTTCCCATAGTCTTGCCCAGGCATGAAATACGCACTTTTCTCTCCACCTGCTCCAACTCCAACTGCACCTCCAGCTGTACTTGCAGCTCCAGTTCCAGCTCCAACTCCAACACCTTTCCCATAGCCTTGCCCAGGCATGAAGTAAGCACTTCTCTCTCCCCCTGCTCCAGCTCCAGCTCCAACTGCACCTCCAGCTGTACTTGCAGCTCCAATTCCAGCTCCAACTCCAGCGCCACCTTTCCCATAACCAGAAGCGCCTGGTCCAGGCATGAAATAGGCACTTTTCTCTCCACCTGCTCTAACTCCAACTGCACCTCCAGCTGTACTTGCAGCTCCAACTTCAACACCACCTCTCCCATAACCAGAAACACCTTGACCTGGCAAAAAATAGGCACTTTTCTCTCCCCCTGCTCCTGCTCCAGCTCCAGTTCCAACTCTAGTTGCACTTCCAGCTCTATAATCCTGTCCTGGCATGAAATACGCACTTTTCTCTCCACCTGCTCCAACTCCAACTGCACTTCCAGCTATGCTTGCAACTCCAATTCCAGTTCCAACTGTACTACCAGTTCCAGCTCCAACTGCAATACCACCTTTCCCAAAACCAGAAACGCCTTGATCTGCCAAGAAATAGGCACTTTTCTCTCCTCCTACCCCGACTCCAGTTCCAGTCCCAGCTCTAGCTGTACTTCCAGCTCCAAAATCTCGTTCCGGTATGAAATAGGCACTTGTTTCTCTCTTTGCTCCGGGTGCAGCTCCAGTTCCAGCTCCAAAACCTTGGTTGGGCATGGAATAATCATCTTTCTCTTCCTCTCCTCTTAATCCTTCACCTCCTGCACTTCCAACTTCCCGAGCTCCTTGTCTAGCTGCGTAATCCATGCCTTCTGTTCCTGAACTATCCTCACCACCTTTTCCCACATCAGCCATTCCCATCGATCGCAGTGGAGTACCAGCCTCCTTTGAACTGGAATCAATTGCTTTGATGGCAGGTTCACTATCGGTAGATTTCGTTCGAGCTTCTGATACCTTATCCTTTGCGTCTTTCTTACTTTCTACAAAAACCCAATTTAGTTTCAGTTCCTTATCTCACAAGTGTGATCAGTAATTTGCATATGTTATTAATATTGGATTGTGATATTGGATCACACTTCTATCATGCCTATCAGGAAGTCTCATACATCATTGAAGTTTTATCAGTAGCAGAATGAATAAATCTCTTTACTAATATTCCCAAAGATCAAAAAGTTTAGGCTAAATACTTATTTGACACATTTTAGAATATTGCCACTTGTATTGAAATTATGGTTTTTTTCCCTTTATACCTTGTTCTTTTCTCTCTTCAAAGAAACAACCCTGATATTAGTTTCAAATTTGTCAAAAGTAGTTTATATCCAATTCGTGTGATAATGTCTGAATATCCCCAGGAAGATATTTTTTGAACTAATTAAGTGTCGAAGATTTTTGAATTCTTTGTCTCTCTTAAAACCACCGGACCCAATAAATAGAATATTTATATTAATATAATAATTGCACGAAAAAATCTAACTTTATTTTTCAAGGTATTTTTCTCTAAATTAATCAATTTTAAAATTAAATAGCTAATTTGTTTAAATTCATCGAAAAGGGATGAGAGAAAATGAATATTAATAATTAATATCTTGATCGATTTCCGGATGAGAGAAAATGAATATTAATAACTTATTAATACCTTGATCGATTTCCTTATGTGTAATATCAATTTCATCTTTGTCATCCTCATCTTTCTCATCATTTAGATTCGTATCCGAAGGTTCGTCATGCTCATGCTTATGTCGTTTATCCGTTGCTGTTGATTTCATTTCCACTTTCTTTTCTTCATCTGTTTTCACTTTCATCTTTTTTACTGCTTCACGAGGTTTGCTGATTCTAATTTCGAGATAATTCATCTTGTGATAAGCGTTAAATTCATTAATTTTTTTCAAGATGAAACAAATAAAACAAAGTTTTTAAAAAATTTTAATTTTTTTAATTTAAATTTATGTTTTTTGAAATTTATTAACTTCATTTTAATATCTATCAAAAAATAAATTTTTCAGCCCACTATAATGTGTATGATGAAATAAATGTTAAAGTAGTAAACGTTGCATTGTCGTTAATTAGGACAATCACTTAAATCCTAATTAACAATTATAGGTACAGTAGAATAAATACATATACAAGTCCTCTTGCAATAAATATAATATATTATTTCAATTCTTACTTATCATGTTCCTGAAAAAAGAAAATGATTTCTCTTTAGAAATAAAAGATTGTTCAAAATTCAAGCATTTCACAATTCCTTTTCCATCATTTACCTTTTCAATCATTTAGCCAATTAATTTTTTAAAGAGATTAATTAACAGGTATAATTTGACAATAAGTGAAATCTTGTAGCTTTTTGCTAATAAATTCCTCTTTAGCTAATTTTCAAACATCAAATTAACCAAGAAATCTGATTTGTCCATAAACAAATGCAATAATTCCAGCAAGTTACAAAGTAAGATTAAGCAGGTATAATTTGACAGTAAGTGAAGCTTTACAAACTATGTTTGATTTTAATTTCGATAATTAATTGCGGAAATGAACTTATAATGATTGAAACGAAATTCTTAAAAGAACTAACGAACTTTTTTTGGTGTCGCTATATGGCGATGTTCTATAATTAATTTATGTTGAAATGCTTTCTAATTAAAAAAAAAAAAAACAAAAGATTTGATAATTACATAAAAAGAAAATCGTACTTAATTTGAAAATTTTGTGAAATCCATTTTTCTACCTATCTGATCTTCAAATATTAACCAAAAAAGAAGAATTTGTTGTTTTAAAGAAGAAAAATAAACGATTGCATTTACTTTTTGTCTTTCGACTTCCTCTTGCCAACCGAACTTTCTGAAAATAATAATTATTTTCGATGTTGTAGAAAATTTTTTAATTTATGCTAAAATAAAATTAACAATTACAACGAAGTTGAATTTAATAATTTTTTTTTTTTGATCATTTTATTTCTTTCTTTTTTCATAATTTAAAATTAGAAATATCATCATTTAAATTATCGAATTACTTAAATTGTTTTAACATTCAGAAATACAGTCCAATCACTTAGCTTAATCATTTTATTTTAATTGCCTATTAGCTTAATCAATTTATTTCAATTGCTTAGCTTAATCATTTATTTCAATTAGCATTGATCTGTATAGGATGTTGACAAGTGGTCTAGTACTATTAAGCTTAATCATTTATTTCAATTAGCATTGATCTGTATAGGATGTTGACAAGTGGTCTAGTACTATTAAGCTTAATCATTTATTTCAATTAGCATTGATCTGTATAGGATGTTGACAAGTGGTCTAGTACTATTAAGCTTAATCATTTATTTCAATTAGCATTGATCTGTATAGGATGTTGACAAGTGGTCTAGTACTATTAAGCTTAATCATTTATTTCAATTAGCATTGATCTGTATAGGATGTTGACAAGTGGTCTAGTACTATTAAGCTTAATCATTTATTTCAATTAGCATTGATCTGTATAGGATGTTGACAAGTGGTCTAGTACTACTAAATTTGAAAAATCAAAGAATTGAAACTTACATAACGCTCATCGAAATAATTGTAATAAGGATTATAAGCATCCACTACTTTGTTATGCTAAAAAAAAGTACTATTTTCCTTCTTTAATATGATATAATAATTTTTGAATTTGATGATAAAGAAAATTTCAGGCTTATAACCAGATTTGACGAACTTCCGTATTCTTCATACTTTTCCGAAATATAACAGCATCTAAAATGCATTCATAATTTTTCAACATCATAAATACAAGAAAAATACAATTTAAAATTTACAGGATTTTTCAAATTTATCAAGATTAGCTTTGATAAAACATTTTTGCATGCTTCATTAAAATTTTATTTACAATTGTTTTTTTGTAATGGTAATTATTTCAGGTAATTCTTAATGAATAATAAAAAATTAGAATAAATCAAAAGGATGTATGTAACACTGGATGACTCACCATGTTTGCCAGATCCGGAATCAGATCGCTAAATTAAAATTTAATTCAAATTAATATTTTTAATTTTATTCAGGCATTATATAGTGTTTTATACAAAATCTATACATATTGATTTATTAATTTCTACTTAAATGAAGTACTTCCATCATTTTTTCTAATCAATCATAATATAATGTAAAATACAAGATTGAGATAATTAATTATTTCAAACTGTTAAAAATAATTAGGATTTCAGGTTTTTATTTTATATCACAATCTTAATTAACATTCTCTACTTCGTTTCATGTTATTAGCAAGTGAAGAAATAAGCCGTTCAAAAGATATATTATAAAAATTCGATAATTTAAGTACTATCGGAAAAAAGGCAAGTAATAGTTCCAATTTATCATTTTAATTTTTCTTAAAAATTAAAATTCTCTTTTCGTTACAGTAATTTCATGAAATATTTGTTGATTATAGTAATACAGTACAGTACTACTGCCACTCGTTATTTTATTTCTAAAATCATAAAAGCATACCATTATTTATAATTAATTCGCGATTATTCAGTAGAATTTTTACGAACAAAAAATTAATAGACAAATTCTAAAACGTCCGTCTGATAGTGATTGATAAACAACAATGCAATGCGATGAAACTATCTGTCATCTTTTATTCTTCTTCAACAATTTATTTTTAAAGATATAAATGAATAAATTTCATAATATAAATTAATCACATATTTTATATGTGAAAAAATGAAGAAGCAATTAATGACAACAAATTTATGGAACAATATATAAATATGTAGTGAAGAAATAAAGAAACAAACAAATAAGCAAATACTTATATACAAAGGTATTTACAAATAAAAATTCTAGAAAAAAACAAACAATAGAAATTTATTTTGTAATTAATTTATGGTAATAAAATATTCCGAAATATATAAAAGAAAGAATTTGCTAGTAAAAATAATTTAAATATTATGAAAATTTAACGTATCAAGAAGATACTACAACATTGCCTGAATGCAACTATCCTAATGTTTGCCCAAAGGATATTATCTACACGATGTAGTAAAGATTATCAAATAAACTTAATAATTTCAAAATTTCAGATTTTATCTGCTTCTTATATGAATAGAGTATAATTCCATATGAACTCCCCAATATGAACTCTTGATTTCATTTAATTTTGAATAAAATTATTAACAGCAAAGAAAAATCAATAAATCATTTAATGAATTATTTGGACAATCATGCTCATTACAAAGTTTAGTAATATTGGCTGGTATCTACCATAATAAATAACTCAACTAGCATGTATAGCATAAGTTATAGCATAGTAGCATTCTACCGCTTTACTCTTACCCTTACTACAACACCAAATAAAATATTGGTTTTGAAACGAAAATTCTGAAAGTGTGGAAATGTACATGAAATGTACAGTATGGAAATGTGGAAGTATATTTAATTTGAATCGACACCTCAACTACTTTGTAATCATTGGTAATTAAAAAAGTTTCTAATTATGTTGAAGATTTTGAAGATCGATAGACTGCAATGTTTAAACTGCAGACAATAAAAATTTTTGAACTTTACACACCAAATCCTCGAAGTTAAGCAAGCTGTTCAATCCAAAATAAACAATGTAAAAACAAAAGAAACCAAATCATCATATCGTAAAAATGAAACAAATATCTCGAGAGACAAATTCTTTTGAAGAATTTAAAATCACATAAACAGATTTCAATTATATTTTTTGGAAGACCCGACAATGTAATGTGTTATACTTTATGTGATACGTCTATCAAATACTAGTCTACATTTCAGAGATTATGAAAAGTTTTACTACTTATTGAAACTGTGATTTCCAAATTACTTTACCAACTTACTTCTTTCACTAACTCCGTTTTGATTTGAATAATTTCAGGAAGCAACAATCTTCTATTTTAGGGTTTTCCCAATTCGTTTACTTCAGAGAGTCTTTAAATCACTAAGCAAAAATTCCATTAAAATGTTCAAAAACTTATTTGTAATTTATTTTTTTTTTAAAACTTAAAACTTTAAAACTTATTTAGAATATTTTCATATTTAGAGATAGGGTTTAGTCACACGAGCTGTCCAAACGAGGTAAAATAGATAAAATTTATTTCTAAAAATTGAAAATTCATCAAATAAGATGTGCAATATTTCTACTGTTACCTCGCAAGAATTTTGTTGGTGATTGGTGGAAGGTGAAAGCAGATATTACTTGGTGAAAGCAGATACTAACCGTAGGTTTTCGGAATATATGAATATACGAATTTACTTTTAGGCAAGAGAATTAACTGTTAGAAAAATTCAGCAGATTGCTCGAAAGCTATTATTGTCGCACTTTGATTACAATACATCATAATGTGAGATTCAAACACTTTTTTTTCTAAAAGTTCGACTTCTAAAAATTCCTATTCAGTTTGAACTAACCAGGTGTAAATAATTAGAGTTTGAAAACTTTCCTACTTCAAAAAACTTTAAAATATTCGTTGTGAAAGATGCACATGACATGAGAAAAAGGAACACTGCGTGAATGAATGTTGCAAGATTTTCTAATATGAGGAAAAATTATTTATCGAATTTTAATGTTTTCAAAGTAAATAATAGTTCACTCGACTATTCTAACACTTCTATAATAGGATGGTGAAAAAATAAAGCTAGATGAACAAGAAAATCCGGCTAAATTATTTCTTCATAAGTTCTTTCATTGTTGTACCATTACATCCGACATTTTCTGGATCCAAATTCATGAAATGAATCATACAGTGCGCTGGTTCGATACCCAATGTTTTTTTTATGAATTCTGATATTGACGAGGAGTATTTGATGTTTTTTTCGGCCGAAAATGATCCAATTGATTTAATCTAGAAATTTCAAATATTCAAATATATCATCGGGATATCAACTGGTACCGTTTGATAAAAAATAATATAATCTAACGGATAGATAATGTTTACTCCACCTGCCAACACGGTTAGAGTCTCGAATTCTAGAAAAACATTGAATAAATGAAATCATGCATATTTTCATATTTTCTTAACTTCACAATTACCTTACATTCTTTTGTACGTTTTTACATGCATTACTTATTCCTATTGTAGTCTAAAATCTTCCTTTATTAAATTCTCGCCCAATAATACTGATAGCGTTAGGATTTCGACATTTCATATCGCCCTATATCAATCAGGTGAAATATTCGCAGCAAAATGTCTCCTCAACACTAGGCTAGAAAAGACAAAAAGAACAGAAAGGTATAAGGTCGTCAGAGGGGACAAGGGAGTAATAGAAAGTTGGGGTGCTCTAAATTCTTACAAAATTTCGTTTAAAAAAAAGTAGGAAGTAGAAGAAGGTAGAAAGAAACAAACATTTGATATTACTAGAAGCAATGATCAATAATTGATGCAAGTTTAATTTTTGGATTTTTGCTACAAGAAAAACAAAATAACATGTGGAAAAGATGACAGACAAAACGGAATGTGCACATTTATCTCATTCTTGATTTTGGCTATTTGATCCCTCCCGTTAGCTTAGTTTTACTGATGAAATGTTAGTCGGTTTTCTTGGGGGTGTTTGCCGGTGAGCGTTTAGGCGATATCGGCGACTCATTGCTGTTTTAGGTTAAGGATTAGCGACCTTGAATGTGTGACACGTACTGTGTGGGACATGACGTGATCTGTTCATGTGCTAATTGCGCTTTTGTATGCATGGATACTAAAAACCAAAAAGGTTTGAGACATTTACATAATATTAATTTAGTTTAACATTATTGGCGGTGGTGGTGGTGGTGCGAAATGTCTGTTGGAGGACGAGGTAATTCATCACGTGGAAACACTCTAAGGAGGGGCCATGCGCCGTTACCAAATCTTTCCATTGCGGGAAAACGCGAAACAAAGTGCGAGTCAACTGGGTATTTTGATCATTTCTTTCTTGTTATCGAATATTTTTTCAAACATCATTTCTCACTTTCCTTCTGGTTATTTCTGCTTTTCATTTTTTCACAAAGAAATTAATAATTACGATAATCTAGAGGAGAAGAAGAAAGGAAAAAATGTGTTTTATTGGGGATATTTTTCTAGAACAAAAGGAACTCGTCGAGCAGGAAAGCGTGAGAGAGGAGGACGTGGAAAATATGGACGTAATCAAGGTCGAGAAACGGGAAGACAACTTTTTATAGAGCAGCAGGGGATATTTTCATCCGGTTTAAATGATGATGGGCGACATAAAAGAGTGAAAAGTAGCATATCAAATGGTAAATTGTTAATTTTTGCAACTAAATTTTACAAATCAATAGTCTATGTAATGGAATCAATGTTCAGTAATACTAATGATAAGCTTATAATGAAGCGGTGATTACAGAATTGTGCACAACAAGTCTTGGACAAGTGAAGAAAGTAGATCAAGAAGATGCGAAAAAGGAAAGCGACATAAACTCTATAACATATGAATCAGAATGGTTATCTGATGAAGAAGCTGACAACGAAGAACTGCAAGAGTTGCTACGGGATGGGGTACAGTTGTTATAATACAAATTCACTAGCAAAATGTGGACTGTCTTTTGTAATATTTGTGTGTGTCACATTCACAACGAATAGAAAAAAATAATGCAAGACTACTTTGCTACTTTGACCTAGACAATATTTTTTGTGACCGAAAGTTAAGTGTGGATGAATTGTACTCGTTTCTAGTTCTTGTCAGACTTGAAGCCAGGGAAAGTTATCCCACTGGTATTACCGGAAACAGAGCAAGAACAGTTCCAGCAGTTAATTAAGAAAGAGAAAGGTGTGGAGAATGATTGTAGGTCCATGGATATGAACTTTTTGCTACCAACGAAGAAAAAGTTAGTTTTAATATAACTCCTTAAACGTTTATTTCTTCCCTTTATTTCCTTTACATAATTATACAATTATTTGTAATGTTACTTTTTTGCAGAAGGAAGGACAATCAGCACCTTAAACCAGAATGTGAATTTGAAGAGGATGTCAAAAAGTTACAGCTAAAGGAGCTGGAAACTGTTAATACAGCGTCGGATCCAACTGCAACAAGTAGTCGTAGGGCAGCTACCATCATGCGGAAAATTCAAGAAGGTGTCCGATCACTCTGTCACGTAGACATCATGACTTTAAGAGTATTTGTGCGCTAATTACAGGTAATGCCATTTCAGATGAAGATGGTTCAATTTTGATGCTGCAATTGCCAAGTACGTTGTCCGCTATTAAGAATTCAGCTAGTCAAGAAGATACGCTAGGGGGACCGAAGGTTTTGTTCTTTATTGCTCATTACAGTAATTCTTTATTGCACCTTTCTCAACGTTCAATCATCAAAAATAGTATTCTAAGACTTGTGTCCTAGTACTCTTACTTTCCGCGGCTGCATGCCATTCTTTCGGACGGCCCTTTATATTACTAATTCTTTCATGTTATGTTTACTAATGCTTTCTAAATTTCGTTTTTTTAGTCCGAAGATAACACATGTCCAACAATAAAACACTGTCTTGACGGTTTTGCGAATGGTAGCAAAATTGGGAAACTGCGAATACGAAAAGGAGGCCGCATGGAGCTGTCGTTCTGTGGGATGCCTCTGGATGTAGCTTGTGGTGTTGCTACAAGATATAATGAGGTTACCCGCTTTTTCCTCTGGTTTGCTTCGTAACGCGCATTTTGATCCACATTTAAACAGTGACAAACTGCAGTCATGCGTGAGAGTGAGTGTGTAATTAGAAGTTTGTCACCGCTGTGATCATTATAAAGCGACTATTAAGCAATAGATTCAGGAAAATCGTCTTTTTTGATGTTTTTTTTTACCAAAAAACATTCTGCAATTTGGAAATTTCAGTCAGTATTACTAATCGATCCTGAGAGTCAAACAACAACTTCGACGATCAAGAGTGAATGTGGCGATGAGCAATCACCATGCAGAGGTTATATTCTAGGTACAATTGTTGATTCCTTCATTTGTTCGCATAATCTTCCGGAGGCTCTTGATGATAAGCGAGAGGAGCAGCAATTGGATAGACGAAAATACTGTGAGATTAAAAACCAACAGGATGAAAAGGAAGATCTGGAAATGAAAGACCTGCTTTTGGAGTTAAGTTCAATCGAAAAGAAAGAAGAATCTTGGTCAAAATGGACTCTGGAATATTCCGATTCTTTGACATGCGATGATTCATAGTATTTGTTGTATTAGGATGTTTATGCTTCCTTCAAACTATTAAGTAGGATTTTTTAAAATTGATTCTTTGGGATGTAAAATACTATTTGTTTATTAACATGCATGGGAAGCATCTGTGGTATTTCGAGTAGTGCCTTGTCTTTTCATTTATTTTAAAACATTGTGAAGTACGGCAGAGTAAGTTCACTTATATCGGAAAGTGTTTTCCGATTCTTTCTGTTTTTTCTATGTTTTCATTATTTTTAGGTTTACACTGTTGTACCTTCGAAGACTATTTCAGGGGTTATTTTTTCCTAAAATTATATAATTTTCTCCTTAATTTGACTAACACGGGTTGCTGTTTGCTTATTGCCGGCCTTTAAAACAGACATACCCAATAAAAAAAAGACCATCCTTATTTCAAACTTCACTTCCCAGCAAGATTCTCAAACCGTTGCTGTTGCAATGGAACTTTTGGAAGAATTTTGTCCAAATTGTATCTGTATGTCGAGATTGTTAATTGTTATCATAACTGTTTAGTTGTAAAGTATCGACTTTATAAGCTATGAATAAAAAAGAGCGGAATCCAATAAATTAAACTGACCACAGTGAGACATGATGGATCTTCCGTGGCACCATGAGACAATTGCGCATTTGGCGTTACGAGTAGAAATATCCGACTTGTTGGTTTTTCTAGTATTTCCGCTATTAGTTTCGTAAACTGAACATTGAAAGTACTTGGGAATTTACTCGCAGGAACATTCGACGCAAGCGTTACCAGTGGCATGCTAAAATTCTAGAATTTTATTTTGAAATATGGTTTAACTTGAATTTCAAAGGAAACAGGAATATGACGAATTTCCCTTGGAGAGACCGATGATTGGATGTTTCGCTCGTCTAACGTTTCATTTTTTTTTATAGCGGTGAAACTCAGGAGTGTAGAAATGGTTGTATATGTTGGGAATTATTCGATGCTTAATTGTTACAACTGCAATTCCAGTATCCTTTACTGGATTTTTCATCAATTTTAACAATAATCTGAGGATCAAAAACTTCACCAAAAAGCCTGGCTAGATAGCGATGGATACAATAAATACTACCACCGAAAAAATTTTAGAACTATTAAAGAGAAATGTGAGGCGTAAATCCACTACTCATTGCTTTAGGCTTTCGGATAGCATATGTCTTTGTTAGATTGTTAAAGATATTGTCACAGAAACGACCTACGACTAAATGCTTACAATGAATGAATAATCATTTTTCAAACAAATCATTGGAATGGTATTCAAACGCAGGAAATAAAGAATAAATACGATCCGTCACTTTTTGAATGATACTCAAAATGAACTGCGTAGACCTTTCTCTACTTAGCGGGAAATATCCTATCTACATATTAGCACGCTACTCGCATTAGACATAACTCTGAATCTTCCGGAAAAAAGTTTAGGACTCAAGCTATTGAATGAACCGTTTGGTTAATCTACCACTTCGAACCGTCTCGTCATAACCGGGCTACCGAGCCATATAACTTATGTTTTCTCCGGTTTGTCCTATTCTGCTTCTGTCGTGCTGCATCACTATTACTAACCTCTACCGGAAGTTGACAAAGAGCTACCAAGAGAAGATGTAGCAATGGAATTTTTTCCTCTCTAGGAGACACTATCAGGATGAGCTTGAAGAAAAAAATTCTATTAAAATTAGATGGCCAATCGAGTTGATCAATCAACGTAAACTCCATAATAATTGTTCGCAAGTGTACTCTGGAGAGGCAAATAATCGCCTAACTTCTTCGAGCATTAGTTTATAATACATAAATAATGAATGAACAGTAAAGGAATCAAACTTAATCTTAGAGCTTAAATGAAGTCATTCACTAGTTAAATTGAATTAGAACAAATAATAAAAAACAAGAACAAAACTCGTCAAGTTGAACTAGAACAAGAACAAGCAATTTATATTACACATTCAGATAGCCCAATTCCACACAAATCTTCCTTCTCCCAATATTCATCATGGTTCATACATTTTTGATCCAGCTGTAAACAAATTTTGAAGCCAAGCTTGACCTATTTCAAAACCAAGGTCATCAAACTACCTACTTCACCGTACAACATAACAATGACGGCAAAAATTGTTTATTTCATGCCATCTACACTTATTGTGAAAGGGAAACGTAAACCGAAAACGATCAATCTTTCACTCGTCGGCAATACAATTTTTTTCGGTAGCAATTTGCTAAGATTTGTTAAAAAATTTTTCTCTTAGCAAAGTTGTTTGCGAAAGTCAACAGGGTCACTTTCACAGGTTATCGAGTCTGATCTAGTCATTCATGACTGGTGATCAGAACCGAACATCGCTATTTTCAATCCAATAAAGCAAGGCAACATTCACAACACTATAAAGTATCCGATTTTGATCGCTTTTGAGGAATGTAAATTGCCGAAATCCGCAACAACCATTCAGATGAACAATATATAACAGTTGGGGAATATGAAATTACAGATTCACGACAACATTTGACATTACAGTTATGATTGAAAAGCGACAGCATTTTTGAACATAAGATCGGGATTATCCCTTTCATACAAGGAACAAACGGTTAATAAGGCATTGTAAATAATTTATGCTCACATTTTCATTGATTTTAAAGATCTTTGTTGGTCAGGACATTTTATAATTAGTGATACAGTGGCAACAAGTTGAAGTTTAGAGCCGAATACAGGAGAGACAGGAATTTCTTCTAAATTATAGCAAAAATAATTCAAACACATTTCAGAAATTGAAAATGGAGATTGAAATACATTCATTTTTCAAATCCTTAAATATGTACCTCTCCATATTTAAAATTTTGCTTATAAATTACTGCAGATGAAAAACAAATAAAGGAGAGTCCTTAAACTGCTATAAATGCGTGCAAATCCTGATGCAAAGAATGAAGGAAAGCAATAAATGGCAGCAGTGATTTTAAAGATTCAAACGACGTGATAAAGTGGACTCTAAATGTGCGCAGAAGCAGACATATAGATGTAAACCTCAGAACAAAAGTGAGATCTGAAAAAAAGTACAACAGCAAACAATGAAGGAACTCCATAACAGAAGCTATGGTTAGCTGAAATAAATATCAGTAAATGGCAGATGGTATACAACTAATACTCAAAGAAATGCTGTGAGGTGTTAATATAAGGATATCTTTAAATTACAGACTGGCGGAAAGAAAGCTATATTCGTTTTCATTCATTAGTTTTAGCATCTTCCTCGCCATAATCTCGGCAAGCACGATCGAATTTACGACGTTTACGAGCACGGGCATGTTGTTCTAAAATAAGACATTAAATCTAAAGAATAAAACTAATTAGTATAAAGCAAACAAATTCAAGCATACTTTGTTCTCGCTTTTGTCGTTCTAAAGCTTTCGCCATATCTATTGTATTATATTTGACAAATAAAGGATCCTTGACAACTGCTTCTTCTACTCGCACCAGTTCGTATGCTTAAAAAACAAAATCGAAAAGATCTATAACAATTTTACTTTGACATCTAATCACAGAACAAAGATATAATCAAAATAATGTCATAAAACTTACTCCCTTGCTGATCGCGGCGGTAAACCGGTTTCTCACCTAACCAGTGACGAATGGGAGCAACGCGGTTCCTTGTTGAACGTCGCAAACCCTGTTCAGTTTCTTCGCAGTGTACTGGAAGGGACAGGCTTGTATTAAAGGAATACAACTTTAAAAGTGCAGAACAAAAGTTCTGATACAGCAAAAGATTAAAAACTGTAGTTCGGCAAAACGCTACCTATTTTGCGAGCATGTAGGACAGCAGTGCATTTGTTTTCATCCTTCGCTGCTATGATGTGCACTGGAGAGACCGAAATATCAGATGGATTGCATGAATCACCGCTAAACAGTGGATTCATTTTAATGACTGAGTCCTTCTCCTTGCCTGGTGTATTCACCGATACGTTTGATTCGTTAAGAACTATAACACCGATGAAGATTTGCATGATCATCGAATAAAATAGTAGTAAGTACAATATAAAAGAGTCACCAATGAAATTGTATTTTTTATAATCATAAAGCGCCGAAAACTGTTCCTTAGTTTCAAGGTCACAATATACTCATATCCCCCTCATTATAACTGTCAGACTCTGCAGAAGAAATGGTTAAATATTTTAACTGAAACGTGATCAGTAGAGCTATCAAACACATACTTGATAAAATCCTCCGCTGACCGAAATAATTTCTAGTGTCAAACAGAGGTGTCCTTTGTTGTTTTCGGTACTCACTGGCAGTAGTGTCTAAGACAATTTCGAGCTCCCCCGAAGATACATTTCGTTCTTCCGCAACGGTCAATTTGACTGTATCTTCAACTAATTTTTCCACTGTATCACCGTCAATATTGTCAATTACAACAAGCTGAGTATCATTCATTTCCTCTGAAATGCTTTTGCAGATATTTTTTATAAAAACAAAACACGCAATTTTCCAAACATAAAACTCTTTTTTTGGCTGCGAAAAACAAAATAAAAAACCTTTAGAAATATTTGTTGTTGGACTCACATATTTCGGAGACAGGCCGGAGTTCTGGAAACAACAAAGTTAAAAAAAAAAAGTATAGAAAAGGTTACAGTTTTATGAAATTAATGTAAAAATACCGCAAAATGAACATAAAGATCATGAACAAGATTCGAAGTTACCTCAATACTTTCTTCAAACCGAAGCTTTCCGATCGGTGACAACAATTTCGAAAGATGAGGCGGACGTCTGCATGCAGGTCCACTTCTCATAACATTGTCGACGAGCATCTGAGTTACATCTGAAAATGAAAAAACAATTCAACTCTTAAAAAACGCAAAAAAAACACAAACAAAATTACCAGTTTTTGTAACGGGTGTTTTCGGAACTGACAATAACGAATTGTCTCCTGCAAATTCCTTCCATTTCTTTTCTGTACTGAAAGTCGGTCTTGGCGTTCCACCACTTTTTAAATGCTCGAAAGCAAAACGCGACAATGGTATCTGCGTGACTGAACTTACAAAACTTGTGCGCCGATGTTCAAGTTCAATTCTACTGCATTCCTCAAAAATTTATTCATCCGGCTTATTATTATTAAGGAACTAAGATTAACAGAAAATATGCTTCGTTACAAGTCCGAAATAAAGCTGATTAAGTCAACCACAATTTTAAACACAATCTGCAATTTGAAAAATTGTTCCCCTATTAAGATACAGAAAATTTCATACCTGCAACGATGTGCGTCTCTCATTAAGTACATGCAACTTGGGAGTCGATTCATAATCAACTAAAGCATTTCTCTATAAAAACACATTTTGAAAAACCAACACTTTTTTACTAGTATCATACCAAAGATTATGGACTGAAAAGATTTTTAAAAAGGAATAAATTACTATAAAACTTCAACAAAAAACTTGTTTGTAACATTTTTGATTAATTTGATGATAACTTTAGTTTGCGCAATTTGA